GCTTGGCACTACATTGTTGGGGGTCCTTGGAGCTTTTTGGGAGGGTGATGGGCAGAGCTCTTGCTAGTGGATGGGGACAGGATATTGGACAGATCCAGGGTGTCCAATGAGTTCTGAAGCAGTAGCGCTATGGCAAATGAGCCACACTCAGCTGGCCAAATAGCCACATGTGGCTAGTGTGTTGGACACCTCGGGGATAGATCGTGTGCAGGGTAACGTGAAGTTTTGTCTCATGCTGCCATGGCAGTGGCTGGCTTTGGCCGGCTGCTGGTGGTCTGGCCCCTAGTTGTGGATAGTGGTTGGGGACACTGTTACGGTTGGTGACTCTACCTTACAGAATTTCCACAATCGCTGGCTTCAGTTTCTTTGAACTACAGTGTTCTAAAACAATGCCAGTCAAACCTTTTTAACCTATCTTCATGTCTCCTGAGTTTCACATAGCTTAATGATTGCAGCTGCATTCTGGTATCCGAGTGGCTCATTTACAACCTTCCTGGGTTTTTTGGTTGGGAAATTAACAAGGTTTAGGTGATGGCTTTTTATAATGTGTAGAACTTTCTATCACTGGAGTTGCTGCAGGTGGGAGCAGTTTCCTCTTCATCGCCTGTGGGGTGGTGGTGCTCTGGAGTTCACAGATGCATCCTGCATCATTTGAGACGCACAGATTCCTACACCTCTGCCTCACCGGGTCCTAGTCAAAAACCTGCCTTTCCTGGCTGCTGCTCAGAGTTTTTGGTTAGGGCTGAAACTTGGCTATTGCAATGGGTGCAAGAGACCTCATCAAGTTTAGAAGAGCCATGCAAAATATCAGGTAACCTAAAAAGCGCTTCAAATCTCCACACACTCCTCCCTCAAGAATCTCTCTTCTGATCCCTCCCTGAGGCAGCTTTCTGGCAAGAGGCAGCTAAGGTGAGGTGGGTGAGTGTTGGCACGGTGGGACAGAAGGCTAATTCCAGCCTGCCTTAGGGAGAGGATCATGCAGAGGTGAGATATGCAGAATGATCTCCCAGGGGAAGAGAGGAAACCCCAGCCCTGAAGACACCTAAAACCAACGTCCTAGAGACAGATTCCCAGAAGACGCGCTGTAGGGACCAATCCTGATGGACTAAGTGGGGCATGATTAGCCCTTCCTGGGTTGAATTGCTATGGTGAGACTCTGTACAAGGATGTCTCTTGGCACCTGTAGATGCCTGGCATCCCTGCACTAGAGGTTGACCCTTGGTCTCAGTTATGAACTGGCTCTGGGCTAACTAAGCACCGTATTGTGATGTGTGCTTGCAGGAAGAGGGGAGGGGATCCAAGCTATCGGGGAAGGGGAATTCTGCTAGGGTGGTGGTGACCTGTGACTTACATGTCAGGCTTGATCTGATGGCCCCTCAATGGCTATTGCTGACTGCTGTGGGCAGCCCCCTTCCCCATGCTCAAGGACGGGTGGGCAGTAATTTTCACAGGTGAGGCCACTTAATGAATTTTGGTGTGTGGTTATGGGCCGGTTGCGCACACCCCCTCTCCCTGGAAGGGACAGCGCCTGGGGACTAGCCTCCCTCCAGACTTGTCTGAGGCCAGAGGCTTGGAATTAAAAACACAGCAAAGGATTGCCGCTCCCAGCCCATTGCTATCATGCTGCCTGGCAGCTGGCTGGGGTTGCTGCAGCTATTTGAAGGGCTCACGGCTCTAGCCCCAGCTGGGGTAGCACTGCAACCAGGAGCCAGTTAAATAGGATCCTGCTGCCTGAGCCACCACCTGGAAAGTCAGTATCACGGGCAGCAGGATATCAATAGAAAGTGACCAGATGAAGTCCGTGGGCTGGATCTGGCCTCTGGGGCACATCTTGCCCATAGTCCTGGCCCTGCTCAAGGACCCCTCAGCAGGGTCTTGGGGAAGAAGAGGCAAGGAGAGAAGCAATTGCTAAGATGGGTCAGTTGCCCAGGCCAGCTGGGATTTTGAGGCCTAGTGAGACCTTTCCACACCCCAGTGACTTGAGGCAGAAACTGAATGCAAATCCTCTGCTGAGAAAAGGCCAGTCCCTCTGAGCTAATAGAGGGACAAGGGAGGTGCAGGGCTGCTCGGCCTGACCCCAGCGTGACAGCCCCTGGGCTGTGGCGTGCAGGGCTGGGCCCCAGGGGGTGATACCTTCAAGCTGAGGGACGTTTGGGTCACACGTGACACGGGGCCCTGAACGCTGAGGATGACACAGGCTGGCCAGTGGCTCCTGCGTGGTCCCCATCACACAAGCCACTGCCCTTTCCGAACTCTTTCCTGGGCAACACTCTCCCTGAACTGACTGGCTATGCTGGGCATCTCAGGGCGTGGGCTGCTACTGCTGGTGCTCTACAGCCCTTCCTTGTGAAGGCTCAGTCTTGTCCTCTTTCAGCATCTCCCTGGGGCCATAGCTCCGAGGGGGGCTATTGGGCCCCCAACTTTCCATGCCCCCCAGGAATTGGGGCTGGTGCAGAGGTGCCCTGGAGCCTGCAGGAAGAGGGGAGCAGTCTGAGACGCGGTCCCTGGAGTGGTATGTGCACTCTCACCATCTCCTGGCCCTCGCCCATAGGCCTAGGGGCAGCAAGGACACCCTGCCCCAGCTTAGCCTAGGAGTGTTTGGGGTCAGAGTCAAAGGCTGCTGGTGGGTTTCTGCTCCTGATGTGGGGTGCGGGTTGGGCTGGGGCAAGGCCCTTACCAGCATGTGTGTCATCCCCCTGGGCTATAGGGACGGAGCCTGGATGTGGCCCCCTCCATTTTGGATGCTGTTCTGTGAGTGACACATCCTTGAGGGAGGTGGGGGAACAGCCGTAAGAGCCTGAGTGGGGCTCATCATGTGGGGAGGGTGCCATGGTGTGAACAGGGCTAGTGCTATAGGGTGGGGGCTGGGCAGTGTCTGCCCAGTTGCCTGCTGCCAATTGTGGGGTGTCTGGGCTGTATCATCCCCATCTGGGGGTGGAGCTCTGGAATGGGAGGGACTAATAGGGTGCAGGTGGAGCTGTGGAGTGGGAGGGGCTAATAGAATACAGGTGGGGCTGTGGAGTGGGAGGGGCTAGTAGAATACAGGTGGGGCTGTGGAGTGGGAGGGGCTAGGGAGGGGGGGGGTGTGGTGGGGGGGGGCCAGCAGGGGT